GATTCTGAGAACCATTTGGGTGACGTATCCATCATCTCGGCAGCCTCCGGATAAAATGCCTGTTCAAGGGCTTCGACAGCTTCTGGCGGCACCGGAATAAGACCTTGCTCCCCACCGACTTCTGTTGGATATTTGTAGCACCATTCAGCACTACACCGGGTGGGAAGCATGCTTTTGGGGTCCCATCGACGTTTGTAGTTGTTATAGTTGCTTGTCCAGTCATCCAGCCCTTCCTGAAGCAGCGGCACCCACAAGTATATGAAGAGGTGACTGGCCATGTACCAAAGGTGTCAATCAGAATTCCGAGACATAATCAGGAAGATAGGAAGGACACAAGGAAACTTACTACTCAACCGGGTCATTTGGATCATAGCAATCCTTCTCGATGGCTTCGAACAGGTGGTTGATTAACTGACAGTTGTATTGCTTCATCATCTGAGACCAGAGACACTCAATCTTCTGATTGTGAGCGCTCTTGGTAAAGAGGTGTGACTGGCTGGGGTCTGCGCACTCGAGGTTGAATTCCTCGGTGAGGTTGATTTGGTGGCCTGCCATTTGGATGGTTTCGGTGCCCTTGTCGGTTGTGGTACGTCGTGGGATCCCACCTTCTCGTTTGACCAGCTGGAGGTAGTAGTATCCAATGTGACGAGGGTCGTTGTTGGTCACATGCACAAATAGCCCCAAGATTTTCCGGCTCCAGGCATCGATGAACCCATAGATGGTTATCCCAAACTTCTTGAGCTTGTCGTGTCCGTCGGCCGACCATATGAAGTTGGGTCCGGGGGTTTTGAAGACACGGCGTTTCAACACCCGTTTCGCTCGATTTTGAACACCGTCCGGGTCAAGGGTGCGGTTTATCATGGCCACTGTGAGTCTTCATTGTATGAAAAGTTTAATTAACATTTATTACCTGTCATGAGTGGGAAATTTCAAATGATCAACTTACGTGTGGATGTGCAGGCCATATTTAGTTTGGAGCAGCTGTCTCATCTTCCGGTATCCAGCATTGCGGCCTTCAGGAGTTTGGTGTATCTCTTCAATGCATGACACAACTGTGTCAATGTCGATCTTTTCGTTGTCCAAATCGTCAGTTCTGCGGGTGAGGTTCATCGATTTGATTTTGCGTTCTAGTGTTCTTTTTGATTGGACGTAGCCGTGGCTGGTGGATAAAGCATGGTGAATTTGGGAGTAAGTCAATCCCCGTTCAAAGTAAGTGATGATGTGATCTTCGAGCTGGGCTGCGTAATCAGCGGCTTGAAGAATTAGCCCCCAGTCTTCCTTCCTGCGAGTTAATGTTCGTTGGGAGACTGATATATCGTATGTCGCTTTGATATGTTCTCGGATTTGACTATCCGTCCTTCCAGTGTTGACTAGGTGTGTGACTTCTGGATGGAAATCATCACCAAATGCACGCATTGTCTGGTTGCGGTTGCTGAGTGAGTTGTGGCCATGTGGGAGAGGTGCTTGGGGTGGGCGGCAGTG